GCTTTCTTCCTGTATGGGAAGCTTTTCAATATTTGAAACATTAGTGCAGTGGTTTATGTTAAAATAAACCTTTGGGTTAGGTTGTCGCAAGCAGGTTTTTCTTGTGTTTCTTGTGAATTTGGTCTTAAATTTTTATTTCAAGTGGCATTAAAAAGTCTTAAAAAGACTTGACTTGCCTTTTGCTGTAACTTGCCCTGGTGACAGTGAAATTGATATTTCACTGTCCTGCAGTGTCAGAAAGCTTGCTCTTAGGCACAGATAATGGGTCTTCAACAGGATAATGAGCCAAAAACACAGCTAGAAACACCCAAGAATGGCTAAGAGGAAAACATTGGACTACTCTGAATTAGGAGCCCTGACATAAATCCTATGGAAGGAGCTGAAAAAGGCTGCCTGGTAAAGGCAACCTTCACACCTGAGACAACTGGAGCAGTTTGCTGATGAGGAGTGGAGGAGAGACGCTGAGAGGAGCTGAAGTCTTATTAACAGTCAAAGGAATATTTGATTGCAGTGATTGGCTAGAAAAGTTGTGTAACTAAATATTAATTCATTTTTCATTTTGTTACCAACTAGGTTTTTTTTCTTTCAGTAAATGAGGGGTACCGACAATTTTTTCCGCTCGTCTATAGAGAGTTTTGCCCTAGAACTCCCATAAAGGCCATAAACCTACGTGATTCATGTTCTATCGATCGATCTCTTCCTGCAGACCAACCTGCATCTGAGCCAGTCTGGTTGTAGAGCTCAGTTTTACCCCAAAGATTCCACGTTTCCCAGTTTTCCCCAGCTCCACTCACGTTTAGTCATGAAAGCCTGACGGAGCCTAGTTATGTTAAATAATGAGAACCATTCCGCCCTCTCCCCAAGACATCACCCTCCACGGTCTATTGGCTCCGCCCAGACCTCTTGGCATGCCCTGCTTAGACTTTGAAGAATGTGGAATGTAGGACATTGCTTTTCACAGACATGCAGGAGGCAGTCTGCCACTGAGCTGACATGGACAGAAGTGGAGTATTTGGAATCCGGGCTTTAGTGACTTTTTGCAGCATTCCTGCATCTTTTGGCTTTATCCAAATTTTGCTTAAGCTCCCTAAGCCTGTTTCTATTTCTAACCATTAAAACGGAAAGAACTAGAAAAGCACTCAGACAGTGCGGACCTCCGCCAGGCAGCAAATTTTGAAGCACATTGTTAATCATAATTATAACTCACACATGATCTGGATCATGACCAAGTTTTAATAATTGTTCCTTGACATGAGGCACACCTTTTGTATCAATGTCATTAAAATCGTTTCATAACTTGTGTCTGCAGCCTCTGGTGTTTGTTCTGTTCTCACCTTCTTCATTCACTCTGCTTTCCGGTTTGTTTAGAAAACTTCGAGTTGATGCATAGCTCACCTTTCCTGTGTTTCCTGTCTGCAGTATAATACGTCTGGACTTTTTTGAGTCCGATACTGGAGCTGTCAATAATGACTGCTGCCATCCTCTGGTTGAGGGGGGAACTGCTTGTTCTGCCAATGATACATTTTAAAGAACCCTTAAAAATCACCAACATTTAATTGGACTGAGGTGCACCTTTGGTAACAATTTCAATAACACCTGTTCAAAACTTTCCAAGTTATCCTGTAGGTAGACGGACAGAAAGACAAAGACACAAACTCAACTAAAAACATAGCCTTCTTGGTGGAGTTGATAAACTGCTCTTAACCTTTGATCTAGTTTCTCTTTGAAGAAGTAGTCTTGCTCAGTCTGCAAAGTCAGGACATCCTTACTTGCTGCTCCCTGTGGTCAGCAGGGCACTGGGAGCATATGTTGCTTCATGCCAGGGGTTTGTTTGACTATGACATCATGGATCTCCCAGCTGTGACTCATTCCTTGGACTGTGTAGGGGGATGGATTCATGCTCTGCATTCAGGGATTTTCTTCTCTGTGTTCAGTTCAGTGATGTTTCCCATATAGTTGAGCCCAACAGGCTGCTGTGAACTTTGCTATATATGATCTGGTCCTTCTTTCAGCAGAATTTGAATTGTTTATGTGTTATTGTATCTGTTGCAGAGTGTTCGTGTAACCATGGAAAGTGTGACGACGGTCTAGCAGGAAGCGGCAGGTGTCTCTGCTACAAAGGGTGGAAAGGAGCGTCCTGCTCTATAGGTACGTTCTAGTTACTCAAACACAAAGCTGTTATCTGACTCCATGTTGATCCCTTACCTCTGTGTTTCTCAGAGATCAAAGACGACGCCTGTGGCGGCGTGTGTGATGACAATGCCAAGTAAGTTCTTCCCTGTTGGTTTGGTCCCACATGTAGCAAACAAATTCAGCCATGTTTAATAAATAATGTCCAAGAGTTTAATGCAGTGTTCTTTAAGGCAGCTTTGAATAAAATCTCAGAGAGAAGTGCCAGCTATCACTGAACTTTTATGTAATAACACTAAGGTACGCTGGATCATCTAGAGCAGTGGTCCTCAACATACAGCAGAGGGATTGCAGGATTTACCTCTCGCTGTTCAGACTGGGTGGTCCTGTTACTGGCGTGACCCAGTTGTTGATGACTGAAGGAGGTTTTGTTGTCCTTCTCAGAGAGGTTGAAACCTTTGAAGGAAAACTCCGTTCAGCAAGGAATAATCAGTGGATCATTATCTATACCTAAAAGTAATATTTTCGTGGTGATTTAATGTTCTGGGTTTCTTTTTTTGTTTTATTTTTTAACAGTGTCCTGTCTGGCAATGTGGCAATAAGAATAATTGTCTTGATGCCAAAAAGAGCCCAACAGATTTTACTGTCACAAGTGGAGCAGTACGGCTATCGCCATAGTGTTCCGCTTGATTTATGCATATAAATTGCTTTATTATAATTCATGCAGGGAGTATTACAGATTATATGGACTAAGGGTGTGCAAATTAATCGTCATGACGATGCATCGCGATTCTAATTTTTGTGATCTACTGCATCGATTCTTGATGCCAAGTATCAATTCTTAATTTTAAAAAATGAACAAATAAAATACATGAATGGTTGGCGCACATCAGCCAAACAAAGTGGAATACAACTTCCAGTCCAGCAGATGTCGCTGCGGATGTGTTGACGCCCGCTGCTTTGTGTCACAAGCATGTCCGGCCATGGGATACTGTGACGAGTCATTCGTAAACAAAACATACAGGACACTGAGAAAATTCACCCGTCTCAATCACATTTCAAGTCAGATGCTTGGATGCATTTAGGCTTTAAAAACAAAGAAGGTAAAAACGAAATTGATATGATGCACATAATTTGCGAAAGGGGAAATATACATTTGAATGTTTTTGTTTCATTGGTTTAAAGGACCACTGAGGCCATGTAAACGTCACTGATTATTCTTATTTTGTTATTTTAAGTTTGATGAATCCTAAGATCTTTTTGTCAGTGTGTCCACACCAGTAATAGTAATATTTGTGTCCAGTATTTGTTTTCATAGCAACACCTCCAAAAGTCATTTCAATAAATACAGCTATGTATGAATGCAGTTGCTTTCAGTTATGTATCAATTGAAGACACGATCCAGATCACACCCAGCCAGTCAGCCACTGGTAATGGCTGTATCTTTTTCCTACAGTGTTCAGTGAAAATATCGCAATGCATCGCAATATTTCAAGTATCGTGATGCATCGTGATAGAATCGCATCGTGGCATGTGAATCGTGATTTGAATCGAATCGTGACTTCTTTGCCAATACCCATTCCTAATATGGACACTGCAATGTAAGTAGAACAGGGAAGGAAAAAAAGGAAAAATGAGAAAAGATGAAAGAAGGGAGAAATGAAAGGGAGATAATTATAAAACGTCTTCTGTCTGCTTCATCACCTGCAAAGAGATGTAAAAAGAACAGCTCAACCAACGTATATAGTATAGGATATATAATAAATGAGCACCTTGATAATATCACTAAAGTATAATTAGTATTATTTAATCTGACATGTATGCTGTGGTAGCTGAAGATCAGAATATGGGCTTTCTGTATGGAAGTGAATCTATAAGAACAGGGAACCGAGCACCAAGCATAATAATTTGAATTGTGATCACTGAGTCTGGGAGCAGCCATTTCCCCCCAAATATAGTAACGCCTCCCTCCTGCCATCTTCCAGCAGTGACGTCACGG